CCAAAAAAAAAAAAAAAAAAAACTCTTCATTGGATCTACTTTGATGAACATGAGTCTTGAGAGATTTAATTTGACCACGCAAGTTCTTCATCACAGTTGTAGCTTGTAGACATTTCTCCATTGCTAGAAAGTGCGCTGGATCAACACACACATTCTGATATGCGTCATCACATGAAATATCTTAATCATAATTGATAGTTTGAGATGATGGTTTACCTTCTTCAGAGTCTGAAGTATTGTGAAGGGATGCAAGACAAAGAAACTTGTTTTCTGAATGAATCGTCATGTCGCTTGTGTGTGATTTAGGTCAGTCAGTCTCTTCTTCATCTGAGTCATCTCATGTTGCCTTCAGTGACTTATTATTCTTTTTAAGATTAGCACATTTAAACTGGAAGCACCAAGAGCCTCTACATTCCATGCATTGATCCTTCTCAATTTTTAGTTGTCAGACTTGGAGGGAGGAATGTTGGTTCGTTTGTCTTGTGAGGGCCCTTGTTGGTGCTATTGAACTTTTTCCCATCAAACTTGTTTTTGAACAACTTCTGGCCCATTTTGCCATAGTTCCTGGCAATCACGGTAAACACTTCATTGCATTCAACATCTTCATCAATGAACCTCATTCCTCGTCACTGCCTTCAGCATCTGAAACATCAACCTTCATGGCTAAACCTTTGTTCTTGACTTTGTCGTAGTTGTTGTTGATCTTGAACGTTCTGAGATTAACAAGAAGGTCATTGAGATCAAGTGGTTTTACTCTTTAAAACCTCTCGAGAGCCATGATTTCTCTCAAAACCTTGCAGGAAGTGTACTCATAATCTTTTGAACCTGACGTGTTTCAAATATGTGTTCTCCCAACATTGCACTCTCATTTACTAGATCACAGAACCTTGGTATGACATGTCAATGGTTTCATCCTCCTTAATTTTGATATCAACAAAGGCCAAGGTCACACGATGTAGTCTGGAAGATTTGACAACTTTAGATCCTTCAAACTGATGTTCTAAAATCCGCTAGCCATCCTTGGATGTCGTGCATTGAACTACCATCTTGTGCCGTGTTTGATCAACGACCATCAGAATTGCATGCAAGGCTAAAAAAATTGCCTTTTCTTGCATCCTTTTGAGACTCGGCCATACATCTCTTTGTTTAAGTACTTCGGTTTGAGACTGAATTCCCTTGTTCGGTGCTTTTCTCATAAGTGGATGTCTCCACATGTTCTCTACACTCTTTCTCTACACTTTTTCATGCACATTTGCTAAGTGAATGCAAGAAGATGGCCATTATCGATTTCCTGTATGAGTAGTTTGAGCCATCTAATTTTGGAGGTCTTGACATAGAACCACGACCATGATTCATTGTTTCTCGTGTACATATCCAAAACATCTTCGTATAAAATAACGAAAACCCGCTCTGGTGCGAATTGAAATATTGTGGGAGTTACAGAATTGCGCCTAAGTAGTAAACGATGTAAGTACACTTAAATGCGAAAGCATTTTATGCAACACATGAACCTCCAGAAGACCATCCCACACTCCCTCAGAACTCTGTCATTCAGTTAAGTATTCGACCTATACATTTAGGTTTTACAGCAAAGACTTCCTCTTTCTAACCTACACTGTATTCACTCACCTAACTATTTTTTATGCCACTCCTCGTGGACTTATACAACTACACGAAATCTCTTCGTTAGTCTCTCGGTATTCATCCCAATCACCTTGAAGTTTAGATCAAGAAAATCTCACACTCAACGTCAGAGAACACATTCTCTGATTTGAGTACACAATAAAACAAAACTCAAGAGTTTCAGACACTATTGCACACTTGCGCTCACACAACTCATTAATCAAAAGTAATCAACAACATAACCCTTAGTGTGTGCAAGACCTTTTAAATCTTCACTGCACATGGTAAGTTCACAAAATTAGCTGCTTTCTTTTAATTAGAATTGTCATCTCAGTTCTTCAGTCCTTTAGTCACATTTTGCTCCCTTGCGTATGGTATGTTTTTTCCCCAAGCTATCTTCTTCACCAGCTGCCTTCTACATTTGCTCTTTCCACGCATGGTAATAATCTTGCCTTCATTTCATCTTTCCTTCTTCATGCATGGTAAGTCCTCCCAACTTCATATCTCCTTCAATAAGTGAATAAATCAATTAGTCCATAAATAAATACAATAACAAGGAAATAATATAAAAGTTCAAACTTTCCTTGACTTGTCGAGATCTTTCTTCTCAAACTTAACTCCAAGATATAATTTG